GGGGCCAAGGCCTTGGGACCCCAGGAAGCCTGGGGCACAGCAGTGCCTCAGGGCAGGAGTTGCTCTCGTTCATCTGAGTTCCCCCTGCCACACACACATCAGGGTCCCGAGGGGCTCCCAACAAGGGAGGGAGGGAAAGAGAGTGAGTGTGTGGGCAGATGCCAGTGTAGGACGGCGAGCCTCCTGGGGTGCAGACACACAGGGACACCCTTTTCACAGGGACACACCAGCCTCTCGGGGAGAACCAGCTTGTGCTGGTGGAAAGGGCTTCACGTGGCTGGGGCCCTCCTCCTTTGCAGAGTGATGGATGGCCTGCAGGGCAGGCAGCGTGGTGTGAACACAGGGCTCAGGCAGCGTGGTGTGAACTGCAGGGCTCAGTCAGCGTGGTGTGAACTGCAGGGCAGGCAGCGTGGTGTGAACTGCAGGGCTCAGGCAGCGTGGTGTGAACTGCAGGGCAGGCATCGTGGTGTGAACACAGGGCTCAGGCAGCGTGGTGTGAACACAGGGCTCAGGCCTGGCCCTGACTGTTGTGTGGCAGATCTTGCTCCTGTCTGGGCCCGTTGGGCTCCTCGGCTGGACTCGGTCCTTAGCTCCCCCATGGTCCTCTTCTCCCTTCCCTTACGTGGAGGGCCTCTCCTCCTGTTCTCCTCCCTGTGTCCTGAGGAGTAAGCCCTCCTCTGGCCTTGCCTCCCTACCAGCACCCACCCCACTGCTTGTCTCCACTCAGAACTCAACTTCTCAGAAGCTAGCAGCTGCCGCTGACTTCACTTCCTCACCTCCCACTCCCTCCCCGGCCCCCACAGTCTGACTTCCACCCCCTCAGGCCAGAGGGCTCTTCGAAAGGTCTCCAGTGACCTCTGTCCATGTCACCAGATCCAGGGGCAGTTTTAGTTCCCAACTTGACTGCTCAGCAGTGTTCACTCTGCTGCCCTCCTTTTCCTAAAAACTCTTTCTTCCCTGGCCTTCTCCTCTGGCACCAGCTCATCCTCCCCTTCTTGGGGCCTTCCTTGCTAGCCAGACACTAACAACACCCAGTACACACCTCGAGCTCCCACCCCACTGGGCACCAGGCTCCCGTCGCTCTGGCTGCTCACTCAATGGTTCCTTCTGGGGCTTCTTAGCACCACAGACTGCAAAGCTCCAGCAACCCTTGAAACCTGGTCCTCCAACATCCTCAGTCAGACAGCCCAACACCATCCCGGGCTCCTGGCATCTCCACACCTACCCCCATCCATTAGCAAGTCTGGAGCCTCCAGAGCCTCTGGGGAGGCGGGTGGGAGTCCTTGCCCCCACCCAGGCCTCAGGCTCAGATCCTGCACACAGCATGTGTGTGTGCCTAGCAGCCCCCACTCCATCACCCATCCCTTCTCTGGCTGGCTTCTCCACCTCCATGCCTCCACCCTGGCCCAAGCCACCACCCCTCTCAGGTGGCCCGCCGCAGGGCTCCTAGACAGTTCCCTTCCATCCATCTCTACCTAGCAGCCAGAATTATCTTTTAAAAACACAAACAAGGGCCGGGCGTGGTGGCTCATGCCTGTAATCCCAGCACTTTGGGAGACCGGGGCAGGCAGGTCACTTGAGGTCAGGAGTTGGAGACCAGCCTGGCCAACATGGAGAAACCCCATCTTTACTAAAAACACAAAAATTAGCCAGGTGTGCCGTGGGCGCCTGTAATTCCAGTTACTTGAGAGGCTGAGGCAGGAGAATCGCTTGAACCCAGGAGGTGGAGGTTACAGTGAGCTGAGATCGTGCCACTGCACTGCAGCCTGGGCAGCAGAGCAAGACTCTGTCTCAAAACAACAACAATAACAAAAGCCACAGACATGATGGACAGGACAGGTTGCTGCTGTTAACCCTTCTGGGCCGTCCCATCGCTCTGAGACTAAGCAACCTTTCGTGCAACCTCCAAGGCCATGCACTGTCCAGCCAGTGACTGCCCCTCGGCCCAGCCTCTCCTGCCACCTTCTGCTGCTCACCAGCTGCTCATGGGCCTCCTCCCGAAAGCACACTGTGTTCTTCCTACCTCCGGCCACTTGCTCTTGCTGTTCCTGTACCTGGAATGCCCTTTCTGTCATCCTGGTCTCAGTCAAATGCTGCTTCAGTCAGGAGGTGGCACAGGTCACACACTCTAGACAGGCCCTGCTGTCACCCTCCAGCTCATTTCCCAGCGTGGTGGCCTCCACAGCACTTGTAACTACTGATATTTCTTGTTTGTCAGTTGGCAGAGCTTGCCCTGCCCATATAAGACTCAGGAGGTCCTGGACTGCCGAGGCATCGGCATATCTGTCCATCGGTGCTCAGCACCCAGGGAATGTGACCTCTTGAGTCTCCTACACACCAGCCACCTTCCACCAAGTCCCCTGCCCTGGTCTGTCCTTTCAGGCACTACTGAAAAGCCCAGCTCCCAGTCCTCACCCCGCCCATCCTGTCTCAGAACCGGGAACCTGCAGATCTGGCAGCCATTTGTCATCCTGCGCCCCCTCAGCTGATGGCTTTTCCATTCCTGGACAGAAACTTTAGAAAGTGCCAGAAATGTTTTCATCTTCTTGGCTCAGAGGGAGGGAGGAGAGCGGAGATAAGTCACAGTGGGCACCACCTGACATGGGAGCCTCCCAGACCTCCAGGCAGGCAGGGGAGGGTCTCTGCACCCCAGTCCTGCATGTGAGCTCGCCGGGTGCACACACTTGTCATGGGTGTGGAACACCACATGCCCCTCTACTTGTCTAGAGATGAGGTCACAGACAGACACACGCGCAGACACACACACACACACACACACACACACACACAGAATCTCTGCAGGAGGGGCTCAGGACAGGCTGGATGGGAACTTGTCTTGGAGCCGCATTTATAAAGCAGTTATCAAATTTTTGCTTGCACTGTATGTTATAATCTGATTTTTATTTTTTTGAAGCCAAGTTTCCTAAAAGTGTTTTTATCCCCACTTTATGTATTTCCCATATCTGCAGAAGTGATTTATCTTTCTCTCTGGGGATTTTGAGGAGGCTGGTGGAGATTGGGGGAGGGGACAAAGGCCCCCCGCCCCAGCAACCATGTCTTGGTGTAGCCACTGACTCAAGCAGCAGTACCCACGGAAGCACTTTTCACCAGACATCACAGAGACACTCCACACAGTGGCCCCCTCTCTCTGCCCTCGCCAAACAGGCGCAAAAACCTCCCCTGCCAGCCGGGTTGCTGTGAGACCCTGGCTGTCCCTCGGAGCCTGGCTTTCTTCTCTGAGTAACAGCAGTGACCCAGCTCCACCCTGTTCCCGGCACCTGTGGGCAGCAAGTGAGAAAAGGGAAGTGTGCAGGAGTCCAGGGTCCCTACCCTGGATCTGTATAATATCTGGGAGTCACAGAAGCCCTCACCATGGCCTCCCAACCTCCCAAGATGATGTCCTGAGTAGGGGCGGAAGCTGGGGTAACTCCCTATCTCCTAGGAGGCCACTGTGCTTGAAGCCACACCTGCGGATGAGTCAGCAACGGCACGGCCTTGGAGAAGACACTTCACCTTTCCCAGCCTCAGATCCCTAAAGTTCTAGGTAGGGCAGGTGCCCACGGCCAGGCTGCTCAGGGCCCAGGAGCACGAAGGAAGTGAAAGGAGCGCCTCGTCAGCAGGGTAGGGCTGTAAATGCCCACGACTGCGGCTTTCAGTGGTCGCTTTATGATTCTTGTTTCTCCTTTTTCCCCAGAGACCCTTGGTAAGACTTCATAAACCAAGAAATCAAGGTGGCCTTTGCCAAAGCCTGTCAGGACACGGAAGACCTTGGCCAGGCCCTGAGGAGAACAGTGTGGGGCAGGTGCCTGCACCAGCATGGAGCCTCCTGTGTCTACCCCCTTCCCCCTCCCTGCTCCACTTCCTTCAAAGACTTCCTTGCTGAGCTCCCTGGTGGCCAAACCGTAAGTGCCCAGAGTGATAGTAACTGATGCATTCCCATACGAGTCCTAGAGCTGAACTTGCCTCTCGACACAAAAACAATAAAAATAGAAACCCTCTCCACCTTTCACATGGTGCTTTGTTCTCAGCAAATGGTTTTGATGCAGAGAGCTCATTACCATGAGAGCAGACCCTGAGGAGCCCTGTGCCCACTGTCTAGCTGCAGGGCCCAAGGCCCGGGAGAAGGAGGTCATTTGCCCCAGGTGGCACAACAGCTTCCGGCAGAAGCAAGGCTGGGACGAGGAAGGGAAGCCCGGCAGACAAGGGCTCCAGGCTCAGCTGGGCCTCCCACTTGCGACATATCTGTTTTGTCATCTCTAAAAGGGGCATTGAGAGGATTCAGAGCTTCTAACACAGGGCCTGGCCCTGTGTTCGCATTTCCCTTAGGAAATGCTCAAAGTACGCTGCCTCCTTCCCTGCCTTTCTCCCCAAGCCAGCCTAAACCATTGGGCGTCTTGTGAGCACTGTGTCATGAGTCCAGGCCTTGGGACACAGGAACTCAGAAACTCAAGATGGAGGAGGGAAGGTGAGAATTCCTCAGATCTCAGGAAAATGAGATGAGAGTTCTGTCTTACAGAAAAAAAAAACAAAAACAAAAACTCAACAGCCAACTTATTAAATTGGCTTCTAACATCAAAGAGTGTTCACCAAATATCCGAGGGTGATTTCAGAGCAGGCAAGAAGGCCACACATGGAATTCATTTTCCAAACTGAGGGGAGAGGGGCATGGACCAAGCGGGCAGGTTAAACCCCAAACAAATGTATCCTTTCCTCAAAAGACCCCTTAGGATGGGAGAACTGGCACAAAAACTTTGAACTGAACTGGTGGTTGTTGGGAAAATGTTCTGCCTGAGGGCCACTGTGCCCACAGAGGCCAGGGTGCCCGTATGTGTGTGTGTGTGTGTGTGCACGCATGCACACATATAAGAAAAAAGAGGTATGTAAGGATGTGATGATGTATGTAGAATTGGCTTTGGGAGATGCCACTGCCTGTCCCTACCTGTGCAACTTTGGGCCTAACCTTTCTATGCCTCAGTTTGCTCAAATGCAAAACAGAGCCGGTTACTCTTCCATCCCATACCATCATGAGAGTTAAATGAGAGGACTGTGGAAACACCACACCTGGCCCTGCGAGCCTGCAGGAGTGTTGGGCAGGGAGGATCTGCACACATGTGTCTGTGGAATGTGCCCATGGCTTGTGTGTGATTATGTCTGTGCATGTGGTACAGCTGTGGGGACAGGGACAGAGATGTGGCCCTGATTTCTCCACAGGCCCTCTGGGTGGCCCCCTTTAGGCCTACGGATTTTCTCTTGGGGCTCCAGTTTCTTCATCTGTAAAATGAGCATGTGGTCTAGGTGACTCCTAAAGCCCCTCTGGGTGCATAGCTGTGTGTCTGCCGTGAGCATCCATGAGCATATGCATGGATTCGTGCCCTGGCACCACAGCTGGGCAGGAAGAGACCAGAGCTCGACCAGGACTCCTCTTTCTCACTGCTGTGGGCTGAAGGCCTGTGTTCTCCGCCCACATTCCTATGTCAAAACCCCAGTCCCAATGTGATGGGTTAGGAGGTGGTACCTTCGGGAGGTGATGAGATTATAAGGCTGGAGCCCTCACAAACAGGATTAGTGCCCTTGTGAGAAGAGGCCAGTGAGGTAGTTCTTTCCACTAAGGGAGAGCACAGCAACAAGGGGCCATCTGTGAACCTGTAAGAGAGGCCTCACCAACACCAGGCCCTGATGGCAACTTGATCTGGGACTTCCAAGCTCCAAAACAGTGAGAAGCAAATATCTATTGTTGAAGCCCTCCAATCTGTGTTAGTTACAGCAGCCCAAGCTGACTAAGACACCTGCCAGGCGCCGAGTGGCCCAGGCTGGTCTGTTGGTGCCTCTAGGCCTTCTGTTCCTCACTGCACAGGAGGGCCCAGGCCCCTGCCCTAACTGCCTTACGAGGCTGCTGTTAGATCAAGGAGGCAGTGCGTGTGAACACACACTCGACTGAGAAGTGTAGTGCAGATGTGATTTGGGGGGGTGGGGTGGGTGAACAGATCTGTGTGACTTTGTATATTTAAGTGGACGCCGGAGCTCAAAGGGCCCTTTGCAGGCAGGTGACAGTGAGCCTGTGCCTGTACCTGTGGACATGTGTGGGTTGTCATTGTGTCTGTGTCTGCATGTATGTGCTCGTCTGTAGACATCTGTGCACGTTGTCTATGTATATGTGCATTTATGTGTCCGTGTGTTTCTGTGTATATGCATTTATGGCTTTGGTGTGTCTACATATATGCAGTTTTACTGTGTATATTATATGTCTGAGCATGTCTGAGCATCAAAATCTGGGGCAGTGGTACATCCCCTCCTGTCCCAAAATCTGGGGCAGTGGCACATGTATCTGTGTACATACCATGTGTGCCCATATGTGTGATGTGTGTCCAAGTACCTGTTGTGTGCATGTGTGCTGTTTGTCAGGGTGTGACTAGATTCAGCCATGGGTCTTCGTGCTCTTGGGCCCTCTGGAAGGTTGTATGGTGGGAGCAGCTCTCGCCCCTCTGCTCACTCCCTGAACTGCCGTTGCTGAGAGAGGCTGAGTCAGCTCTGTTCTTAGAGGCTCCTAAGGACTCTAGGAGGAAACTCTGGCTCCAAAGCTGACATACTGCACGTAACTAGACTCCCTACATTGGTCTGTTTTCACACTGCTATAAAGATACTACCTAAGACTGGGTAATTCATAAACAAAAGAGGTTTAATTGATTCACAGTTCTGCATGGCTGGGGAGGCCACAGGAAACTTACAATCATGGCAGAAGGCAAAGAGGAAGCAAGGCAACTCTTATGTGGTGTCCAGCGAGATAGAGAGAGAGAAGGCGGAAGTGCCCAACACTTATCAAACAATCAAATCTCATGAGAACTCACTCACTACCATGAGACTGGCCTGGGGAAACCCCCCAGCCATGATCCAATCACCTCCCACCAGGTCCCTCCCTTGACACGCAATTCAGATTACAATTCGAGACGAGTTTTGGGTGGGGACACAGCCAAACCATATTCCCCCAACACACACCAGGGTTCTCACCTCTCTCCAACCTTCCTCCATCAGTTAGGGACAAAGGAAGATAGGCCCATGCCCACCTGGATCCTGCATTGTGCCCCAGTCCAGGGCTGGCCATTTCCTCCTGGGAGGCTTTATGTCCCATTTATTCCCCATTTACCTGCTACCTGCTGTGTGCCAGGTGCGTGGCAGGAGCTTCACGCACACTGACTAAACCGTGCCCACCCTCTAAAATGAGAGTTATTTGTGCACTTTACAGATGAGGAACTGGAGGCTTCGAGGGTGAAGTGCCTTGTAAGTGTCAGCTCATCTGTCTCCGATCTGAGGTGGTGATGCAGAGCTACAAAAGCCCAGAAAAACAGCAATGGTCCCTGGAGGGTTCCCAGGGGAGGCAGCCTTAGTGAGCACACAAGTTCCTCTTCTGCAGAACAGGAGTGAGGATAGCACCTTTCAGGTGAGGCTGAGGAAATCCTCAGGAGGAGCCAGCCCAGCATTCGCATGGGCTTCCATGGACATGTTCAGACAGGAACCCAGAGATACAGCCCCAAGTCATGGCTTACATGATGAGTCAATGCCAGCTGGTGCCAATGAAGGCCCCTGCCTTCCCCTCAGCAGCCTGTGACCATTCACCTGTCCCTTGGAGTACATTCCCAGCAAGGGGACATTTCTAGAGGTTGGGTTCTTGCTATGGCAGATGGAGCTATGGGCTTCCAGAAGGTCCTTGCAGGGCTGGGTGATCTGGAATTGTTTGGTCCCTGGTTCTTCAGGTGGGCACACTTTGGGATGGACTCCTTAGAAAAGTCCAAATACTTTAGCCCTACATAGGCTGGCCCCACCTCATCTGCCCCCTACACAACCAACTCTTTGGCTATGACACACTCCTTACTCTTCTGCAAACCCCTCATGATGCTACATCTTTGCTCTTGTTATTTTCTCTACCAAGATGACCTTGTCCCTTTTTCAACACCTGGTGAATGCCTCTACATCCTTCAAAGTCTAGCTAAAATGCCACCTCTTCCTGAAACCCTTTCCCAATCCTCCTCGGTATGGAATTAGTAGCTGCCATGCCTGACCCTCACTTGACAGGAGGGACCTTATCTAGTTCCTTCCTTCAGTCCAATGCCCAGGAAGAGGCATGTGCTAGAAAGCTGAATTGATGAATGAACAAATTAAGGAACTAACTAGCCCAAAGGCATCTAATACATAATCTCCCTTCCAGCAATGCCAGCCCCTGAGGTCGCCTTCCTGGTTTCTCCTCCGCTGTTCTCTGCATCTGGGCTTGGTTGATCTGATGCTTAGCTGGGATCCCGGCACACCAGGCACAGGCAGCATGTCAGCTCATGGCTCCCCTTGCAGCCCTGCCTCCCCTCACCACTGCCTTCATGCTGCAATGGACGCCCTCACCTCCAACCCCTGTACGGGCCTGGAGGCTCTTTCCCAGCTCCCTGTTTCCCACTCCTTCTGGCTAACTCCTTCCTCTCCAAATCTCTGTTCCTCTGCCAATTCCTCCAGGAAGCCTTCCCTGACACAATCCCTTTCACCCCAATGTGCTGTGGGAGGGGTACCTCCTCTGGCCTCTCAGCCCTGGGCCACCCTGTCCGTCACTGACTACACTCTAGGTATGGTCTTGTGTCAGCCTCTCCCTGCAGAAGGGGGCTTCTGGAGGGCAAAGGTGGGTCTGAACCCTGTTTGTGTGACCCCAGTGTCTGGCCAGTAAAGTTCAGTGGGAAAGAAATATGACAGACCAGGGAAGGTGAAGGAGGCTACTGTGGAGGCAGGTGAGCCTCCCTTTAAGGAAATCCATGTGTATGACAATCCAGATTTGCTCAAAAGACAGAGTGGAGTCTACACTCTCACAAAGAGGGAGGTGAAGTGACACAGAGCTGGAGGGAAAGGCCACACATGTACTGAGCGCCTGCTGTGTGCACTGTCTCAGGACCCTGCATCTTCATTAAGCGGTGAGGACACCAGGCTCTGAGAGAAGACTGACTAGCCAAGTGGGCTGCTGCGTTCACCGGGGCTGTGGGACACCCAAGCCCGGCTCCTTCTCAAGGGCTGACCATGCCACCTCCCATGTAGGCTGTGACCTGGACTTCCTTGCACAAGTCCCTCTTGCTGGAGGCCCCAGTCCATCAGGACCGGCGCAGGTTTCCGCGGCCTGAGAGACTCTTTGAGCAATCCACTAGGGGGCAGGCAAGTTGTTCCAGAGTCAACCAGGAGCCCCTCGGGCAACCCTGGAGACTCGTGGACTCCTCCCCACCCCTCCCCAGCCCACAGGCTCCCGGGGCTCGGCAGGGAGAGGGAGGAGGGGGATACACGGAGTGATGGGGCACCCCACGGAGGAGTCCCACATGAGGAACCTCCCTGAATGACTGAAGCACAGAGACAGTTCTTCAACAGCTCTCTATTTCTCACTGGCGCACTGGGGAGCTGGATGTGGTTTTAGGCTCTGTCAACGTGCAGAGTGTGGGCTCAAGGATATGGAACCTGGCCCCTGTGCATGTGAAACAGCAGATCTCAGGGTCCCCTCCCCACTGGAAAGGACTGGCCCAAGTTGGCATGTGTCCAGGATGTGTCCAGCCTCCAGACACTGACATTTTCTATGACATAACGCATAGGTGATCATTTGATACCATTCTTTCCCGGATGCTGGCTCCTGTGGCCTATCACACTCTCTCCTGGGAGGCAGGTGTGACTACCCCATCCACAGACAGGAGAAGCATCTCTGATCTGTGCACATTTCCTGGTGAGCCACAGGTTACCCTGACTGCTCTGCCTAGTCTCCTGGCTCAGAAACAGGTGATGGCCCTCTCTTCCCTGTCCTTCTCATGACAACTCTCCACCACCTCCACAATCAGTCATCAAGTCCTGCGCAGCCCGTCACTATGGTCTCCGACTTCGGTCCACAGCAAGGGCACCAGGCTTCATGCTGCTCTCTTGCCTCTATTCCCACCACTAGTCTACCTGCAGCACAGATCTTGCGACGTCACTTTTCGACTTAGCAAGTGTGCACTACTGATGGCCAAGGGCCTTTGCTGAGGAGCCCCTGCCAGCTGGCCCTGCCAGCTCTCTCCCCTGGCTGCCCAGCCCCTTTCTATCCCTATGCCCTGGCCCATCTTGTCCTTCAGATCCCCAATTTCAACCTAGAGGGTTTTTATTCTAAAAAAGTATTCCTATCAGTAGTTTTAATTACCCATTAAGGCCTGGAACCAGCGGGCTAGAGATAACCTTCCCCATCACTTTTGTGTCCGGGTACAAAATCCTTCCAGCTTGAGGAATATCACAATATCCTCTCAGCATATTTTCAGAATTGTTATTACAGACATGGGCTGGTGGGAGCTGGCCATGGGGGCAGTCTCTGTTCTTCCCATGTGTCCACCTTGAGCCCACACTCTTCACTTTGACAGAAACTAAAACCACATCCAACTCCCCAGTGCACCAATGAGAAATGGAGAGTCGGTGAAGAATTTCTGGGAGCCAGAGAAGACAGCGCATCATGGCTCACCATGCAGCCAAACTTCATGAACTTTTTAAAGCCTCAGTTCTCCTTCCAGGAGTCCCTTCCCTAGAAGCTGCTTTACCTTTTTCCATCCTTTTTCCATCACTCCCTTGTCCCCAGATCTCCATGTTGTCCCTAACCCACCAGCACCGAGCCTCAGCTTCCTGGTTCATTGGTGGTTACCCAAAGAACAACTACAAGACTGATCCAAGGTCCAGGAACCCTTTAAAGGGCCGGCTCAGGTCTCCCCAGGCACTGTCTCCAAGGCTTCCCCTGTGGGCAGCCCATAGGAGGGTCTTTATTTCACTAGAAAGAAGGAACTAATGTGGATAGAATATCTGCAACGTACCTCTCACTTCCATCATGCAAGGCAAAGATGATTCTCGCTCTATTTTCGATGCAGCTACTAAGACTCAGTCCAAGGTCACCCAGCAAGCCAGGGGCAGAACTGGACTTCAACTCCAAAGCCTCCACCACCTGCACCACCCTGGTGGCCTTATGGGCCCCAGTCAAGTACTATATGGAAAAAGGTGACTCAGACAAGGTCACCAGCTGCAAGGTAGGGCCCAGCGAACGGAGCTGGAGTAGGATGCAGAGGATGGGGCAGGTGAGGCCAGGTGAAGCCAAGGCCAGCAGCCAGGTCTCTGGATGTGGATGGAGGAGTTGAGGGGGCAGATGCCAGAGTGTGCTGTGGACCCAAGTCAAGGTCAGAACTTGCAGGGTAGGCTGGACATGGAAGAGTGAAAAGGCAGAGAAACGAATGAACTCTGGCCACCCGCCTGGGGAAGAGCACTGAAGGGCTGTTTATTCCCACAGCCACCATGCCCTCTCATTCGGCCTCCTGGACTTACGTAGCAGGGAAGTGAAGAGCTTTTGAACTGGAGGCTCGGCTTTTTTTCTTTCTTTTTACTGGCATGGAAACCCCACAATGTAGTTTCTGCAGCCCTCACCTCTGGTAACTCTAAATCAGGTGAAAGAGGGAGAGCTAGATGGGAAGGAAGAGAGAGAGGGGGAGGGAGAGGCAGGAGAAAGAGAGAGGGAGAGGGACTTCGAAAGAGCTAACTGGGCACAGCTGGGGAGAGCAGGAAAGGGGAGAGGAGATGGTGGAGGATGTATGTGGGTTTGTGATATAGAACCTGGCCCCTGTGTGTCGTGAAAGAGACAGGAAAACGGGAAGTGTGACGTGGACTCAGACGCCCTGGGCCATCAAAGGCTTTTAAGCAGGAGGGTGACCTGGTCAAACCTGTGTTTTGGAGAGACTCCATCTGGCTGCCATGTGGGGCCTGAGTGAATGAGCGGGAAAAGAGAGATCCTGGGCCAGGAAGCAGTCCTGGGGAAAGGGCCAGGGGAGAAAACGCCAGGCCAAAGAGTGAGTGGGAGCTCCGGGAGCTTCCATGTTTAGAGATCAGGTAGAGGAGGAGGAGGAAGAGAAGGGCCCGCAGCAGGATCCTGAAGGAGATGCAAGAGAGGAGAGAGGAGGGCCAGGAGCGGGTGTTCCAAGGTGCCACGGGAAGAGGGCCATTAAAGGAGGAGGGGAAGCTGTGAAGAACATAGCCAAGGGACCTGGACACTGTCCCTCGGTCCAGCCACAGCAGTTCTGCCATGGATGTGCTTGTTGAAATGAGGAGCTGGAGGCAGGTGGAGGGAGTGGAGGCAATGGAGGCAGCAAGAGTGGCTTTCTTGCAGGTAGCTAGCTCCCTTGTGGGTCTGGCTAGGAGGAGAAGAGAGGCGGGGACCACAGCTGAAGGGAACCTGGAAGGCCCAGAAGAGGCTTGTGAAACAGGGGCGTGTACAAGAAGGCTTGCCCAGAAGGTTCCCCCAGGAGGCAGGTGCTGCCTCTGCCAGCAGGAAGCACAGCCCATCCACCAGGAGGCCAGGTGGTCACTGATGCCAGCAGAGGCAAGTTTGGTTTGGGGAGTCAGGTTCAGGCCTCAAACCCGGGTCTCCTGACCCCAGCATCACAGGAGAGAAAAGCCGGCAAGCAGGCTGAAGTCGCACAGCCTAGAAGAGGTCAGGGAGTGGCAGCCCTGAGGCCACATAACCCCTTTTTAAGCTTCCAGACCTGCAGAGAGATTGGCTTGGTGACAAGGCCTGCCATCCATCCCTCAGTAGACAGGATGCAGAACTCTGCATTCTGGAGCCCCAGCCCAGCTCCCAGGGCCCAAAGCTCACAGCATCCCAGCTGGATTAATCATGAGATTCCTGGGAGGCCAAGGGAGTCTGTCTGACTTATTTAGCCCAAACTGTGTCCTTTCCCCTCCTTTCCTTTTTCATGTCAGGAAACCAGCCCTAGTGGAAGCCACTTGACTTATGTGTGGTCTGCTTCTGAGAAAAATCAGAGTCACAAGCCATGCGAGATGACAGCCTAGTTTCCATGAGCATGTGCACCCGTGCCCGTGTATACAGGCATGCTCACGTGTCTTTGTGTGTGCACATCCATGCACACAGACAAGAGGCTTATCTGTGCCCTCTGTCTGCTGTGTGTGCGCTGGTGCACTAGGTTTGAGGAGCCTTGGTATTTTAAGTCTTCAATGTACATACTGGTTGTGAGCTGTGTTTGTGTGCAATGTGTGTGGTATGTTTGTGAGTGTGGTGTTTGTGTAGGATATATGGATATAGTGTGTGTACACTGTGTATGCTCAATGTGCATGTTTGTGTTGTGTTTTGCACGTGTGGTGTTTAATTGAGAGTTGGATTTGTGCAGGGTGTATGTAACCATGTGTGGTGACTGCGACTTTTGAGGGCGTCTCTGAAATGTCTGAATGTTTGTGAGTCGTGTGTGTGCCTATGTGAAAGTTGTGTGTGAGGTCGATGCATGCTTGTTGTTTTCATGAGTCGTGACCCTGTGCATCTCGTGTTGCCTCTGAGGATGCATATGAAGGATGTGTGTGCGGCTGTGGCTGGGCTGCTGCAGGTGCACTGTGTCTGTGGGGCGAGCGCATGTGGCTCTCATCAACAGGTGGAAAAATGCCATGGGGGAGGGGTAAAAGTCCAATGCAGCAGAGAGGGCAGCCCCGCTGTTGCCTCCTCCTTGCCCCTGTAGAGCCTCAGCTTCCCCTCAATGGACAGTACTTGAAGGACTCTAGGAACACCCCATGGTCATGAGGAAGATGGCAACATGACTAGGACAAGATAGAGGCTCTGTGACCTGTGCCTAAGAAGACCCTGTCCCTGTGACAACTGGGTGTGCCCAGGCCTCCGCCCCCTCGCTTGCCCCTTGAGGGCTTCCACCTGCCCACCTGAGGAACGCTGTACCCTCATGCTGCCCACCCACACTGTCCCCGAGGGGCAGCCACAGCTACATTCCAGGCAGGTTTCTTCCCTACATCCCCTGAGCACAGCCAGGGGAAGCTTCAAAAGCGCTTCTCTCTCCCTGAAACGAACCAGCACAAAGACCATAGCTGCTGCCAAAACCCTCAAATGCTGACCTGGGCAGGGAGCACCGCAAGCTGTGCCACTGACTGGCGAGCAACAGCTTAATACAAGTGCACTCACTCTTCAGACTGCCCTAGTTGTCCATTGTCCATCGCTGCCCTCACTCTACTGGGTTCAGAGGTGAGGCCACCAGCCCAAAGTAACACAGCAGTGAGTGGTACGGCAAGGATGGGAATGTGGGTGGGTCTCTCTCTGAAACCCAGGTTGCTTCTCTTCCTCCATTCTGCCCTTCTCAGTCCCCTCCTCACCCCACCTAAGGTGGAAGGGGGAACACAACTACACACAGAACGTTTAGATAATTTGTTCTTTTGGCTCATTAATGCTCCTTCAAGTGACGATATGATCTAGTATTCAGTGGGTAGGCGCTGGAGCCCCACTGCCTGGACTCACCCATACTGGCTGTGCAAGCTTAAGTTAATTACTCATCCTTGCTGCATTTCCTCACGTGTCATCTGCAAAATTGAGCTGCTGCTGCTGCTGCTAATAATAATAATAATAATAATAATAATAATAATAATATCTACCTTCTTGGGTGTAGTTAAGGATTGAATGGGTTGCAATATGACAGCTGCATTAGAAAGTTGCCTGGCCCAGCCTATTCCCTTCCCAACTTGAAATTACTCACAGTAAGAAAGATTAATAATTCTATTAACCATAACCTTTACATTTCATTCCGTCGTTTCTGCGATGCAGTGTGGAGCTGGTGTTATCCACACTTCATAGGTGAAGACTGGGCAACTGTGAGAGCAGAGGCCAGGGCCTGCCCCGAGCCCCACCGCAGAGGCTGCCTGCTCCTCATCAGCGCGGTGCTTCCCTGGAGCAGTGCGTCTCAAAGGGTGGTCTGAGGACCGGCAGCATCAGCACCACTGAGGGTTTGCTGGAGGTGCAGATTCCGGGCCCCACCTCTGACCTACTGAACCAGGCTCTCTGGGGTGGGGCCCGGCAATCCGTTTAGCCAGCCCTCAGGGATTCTGATGCTTGCCAAAGCTTGAGAAGAACTGGGCTAGACCTCTGAAGGGGTTGCTCTGTGAACCCAGGAGCACCCCACGTGAGGCCTGTGGAAGAAAGTGGAGGAGGAAGAAAGT